TTATTGATTTAAAACCAAAGGCTTAGTTATTAATTTAAAACCAAAGGCTTAGTTATTAATTTAAAACCAAAGGCTTAGTTATTAATTTAAAACCAAAGGCTTAGTTATTAATTTAAAACCAAAGGTTTAGTTATTAATTTAAAACCAAAGGTTTAGTTATTAATTTAAAACCAAAGGTTTAGGCTGTTTTAGATTGATTATATAGTTAATACAAATGTTGTACTGATACATTCCATTTACCAAATATTTCACTGAAATCTGTGCTCGTTCTGACTGTGTGTTTATTTCTATATAACCGACTTAACTCCACGTATGGTCTTTTGACTGTGCATTTGTTTAAACATAACTGGGATTTTATGTTCCGTGTTGCTTCTTAACTATACGTTGAATTAAACATAGCTAGGACTTAACGCCACGTGTTGCTTCCTAACTGTACGTTGATTTAGATATAACTGGGACTTAACGCCATTAGTTGCCTCCTAATGATACGTTGAATTAGACCTAACTGGAATTTAATGCTACCTGTTACCTCGTAACAGTATACAGGGACATGGTTCGGCGGCTATATTGACCGCGTTTATTTTTACGAGTAAACAACCCAGCATGTGGCTTTTGACAAGGTATGGTGAAGGTGCTTAAATTCCCATATGTATTTTATGTTAAATTATTCGAAAATTTGTGTAGCTTTAAGCTAAATTTATGAAATCATTATCATAACAGATCATTGAAGCCATGAATTACCAGCTACACTATATTATCACCCAGTAATTACAGGCCTATTAGTCATACATCAGTTTTGGGAAAAGTTTTAGAAAGTCTGATAAAAGATGCTTTGTAAAGTCAATTAAAGTTTAGAATGTTAATGAATAGTCAACATGGTTTTACTAAGGGAAAATTTTGCCTTACAAATCTTTTGACATTCTTTGAAAAGGTCACTGCTCATGTAAATGAGAGTATGGGTGTAGATTTGATGTATCTGGAATTTCAAAAATCATTTGACAGTGTTAAGGTTATTTCTATCTAAATTATACTCATAATTCAAATTATGATAACTCAGATGCGTTATCTTGCATCTATATATATAGCACCCTATCTCCTCGGAGCCTATTAGGCCAATCTCAACCCAAATATGTATGTAAACACTATGAACTATAGGAAATGTCCTAAGGGGGTCAAAATTGAACTTAACCCTATTTCTGTTTTGTAAAGCCTATTGGTTAATTACTCCCAGCCTATTGAGTCCATCTCAAACAATCTTGGCAGGTTGACGCTTTAGACAATGTTGAATATTCTAAAGGGATTGAAGGTCAAAGCATGAAAGTTGTTGAATTGTTTCACAAACAACCATGCTTTTCTCATGGTAAATGAGGTGTAGGGTGTTCAAGGGTGGGATCACCTCAAAATCTTTATTTGTTAGGAGATGGAAAACAAATTGCAAATGTTGTTTATGAAGAAGCTTTGTTATAATTTTAAAATTTTAAGATAAATATTATATTTAAGTTATTACTTTGAAGTATATGATTGCTGTTAAACTTACATTGTTTTAATTAAGTTTAAACATTCCCTGTCAGTTGATGGGTATTTCCGCTTGTTTATTATAATTAAAATACATCTGCCATTTATTCACCCAACTCACTGTATGATCTAAATCCTTTTGTAAATCAAAAACATCCTCTTCACAGTTAGCAACACCCAAGACCTTAATATCATCTGCAAATTTAAGTAGTTTATTGACCATTCCTTCATCTATGTCATTGATGTAAATCAAAAAGAGCAACGGTCCTAAGACTGAGCTCTGAGGTACCTTACTTGTGACATTAATCCAGTTTGACTGAACTCCATTTGTAATAAACTCTCTGCTTTCTCCCATCCAGCCACTCTTCTATTCAATTAGCTAACTTATCACCCACACAAATGGATTTTTTTAAAACCTTTTATGTGGCACCTTATTAAATGAATTCTGAAAATCCAGATACACCAAATCTACACCATTACCCTCATCTACATAAGCAGTAACATTTTCATATTTTGGATTATATCCTGTTTTAATTCCTATGTATTGTAAATATATTCTGAAACATAAACATCGAATGTAATGAGAAGGGACAACTCGAACTCATATAGAATAGGTTTGTCATATACAGCCAGATCCAAAGCATAAAGCTAGTTGTTAACTATAATATAGGCCTAAAAAGCTATTATTGCCCATAGGGATGTAGTTATCCCACTTATTTTCCTCTTAAAAGACACGAGTGTGCTATTAAACCTTAATTTTGAAAGGAGTGAGATTTGATAAGATATATTTGTGTGTGGAAATCTATATTTATCGCCTGATGACTTATGAAGTGGTTGTAGTTATTGGTGGAATGATCGAAGAGAATCTGCTTTGTTTACTCGTCAAAATACTCAGCCTCGTTCTCGCGACGACCTTGACACACCATATATGGAAAACAGTGTCCATGTGTATACGTTAATTTAACTTACGATACATTAAATTATATATAATTGGGGCTTGATTTAGATAAATTGGTCTTAGCGCCACCTGTTGTCTTCTAACTGTACGTTAGTTTAGAGATAGCTGTGATTTTATGTTCGTGTTGCTTCCTAACTGTAAGTTGATCTAGACAAAACTAGAATTTTATTCCATGTGTTGCTACAATTTGTCATTAAATAATTAATAAATTTGATGGCCATAAAAATCATAAACCTAATTATACCTAACCAATCTAGCTTACACCGGAACAATTATCATAATTCACCAAGTTAATCTAGATTACACCGAAACAAATATTACAGTTCACCAGCTTAATCTAGTTTACACCGGAACAATTATTATAGTTCACCAACTTAATCTGGTTTACACTGAAACAATTATTACAGTTCACCAACTTAATCTAGATTACACCGAAACAAATATTACAGTTAACCAGCTTAATCTAGTTTACACCGAAACAATTATTGTTCAAGTAATTGATGATATAAATAGCTTCTCGACCACTATTGTGTCTATCGTATCCCAACTGCCCTGAATATCCCTCGTATTGAGCGAAAATCTGTGTTGTCACTGGATGTAGAAGATATAGTGTTTTTGATATATTATCACATTCTTTTTTTTTTCTTTCACCCATATAACTCCTAAGTATATGTTGATTTAGACACAGCGATGATTTAATGGCACGTATTTCCTCAGAACTGGACGTTGATTTAGACACAGCAATCATTTAATAGCGCGTATTTTCTCAGAACTGGACGTTGATTTAGAAACAACAATGCTTTAATGGCACGTATTTCCTCCGAACTCTACGTTGATTTAGATACAACCAGAATTTAATGGCACGTATTTCCTCAGAACTGGACGTTGATTTAGACAATAACGATGATTTTATGTTGCACGTTGCTTCCTGTTTGGTTGTCGAATTTCGCACACAGTACACGAGGGCTATCTGCGCTAGCCATCCCTAAGTTTGAAGTGATAGTCTAGAGGGAAGGAAGCTGATCTATCACTTGAAAATTAGAGGCAGTTGGAGCACAAGACCCTCGTGTTGCTAACTTTCTGCGAAGTTCATCGAACAATCAATGTTTCGGACGTATCGTAAGTTGAGCTTGTGTACACATTTTGAAAGCGGTGAATGTAATTAGTACTTATTTCATTAACAGCATTTATTAGACCAATACATTTGGTGGGCCATAATTCATTCTAACTGAAGAGTATTTGAGGTTTTAAATGCTGGACTGGCATGACCAGGTGGTTAGGGCGCTCGACTCACAAACATGCTCGCCCTTTCAGCCGTGGGGGCATTATAATGTGACAGTCAATCCAACTATTCGTTGGTAAAAGAGTAGTCCAAGAGTTGGTGGTGGGTGGTGATAACTAGCTGCCTTCCCTCTGCTAAATTAGGTACGGCTAGCGCAGATAGCCCTCGTGTAGCTTTGCGCGAAATTAAAAAAACAAACAAAAATGCTGGACTTTCTACGATACAAATTTTGATTAGTTGTTTATAGAATTAATTTTTTTGTGCATTTAGAAAATAGTTAACATGTATTTAATATATATACTAATAGTGAGTCTGTTTCTTTCAGGAATCCTCTTGTTCCATGTAACAGCACATTGATCCCCCGGCTTGATCTCACGCTATGGTTCAACGAGCCAGTCGGGTTCTAGGTGCCGACGTTGACACATTGGAGCTCAATAACAAAACTTATAACATATAGATCCAAGCATTGAATTTCAATACAGAGTCATTTTAAAATAAATCCTCTTAACTCGAATTTACTGAAAGTAAAAAATATTCTTACTCCTGTTACGTCACATAATTAAATGAAATATATATTAATAAATTTTCTTTAAGTTTCAAGGAATCTAAAAATTATTCGCTTTCTTTAATGGGTAAGTGCCACTTTTACTTGCTGCCAATTTTCATATATTATTTATAAATTTGTATGTATGCTGCTGCTTCATTAAATGAGAAAAATTAAAGCAATATTATTATTCAAACGTGAGAGTAAATAAGGAAATATATCAATAGATATGGAAAAAAAACACATCAACAAATGTGAGGTAAATTTCCATGATGAGTACAAAATATGGAATTCCTCCTTCCAAAAATATATATATATATATATATATAATACTGTATTTGTTCATATGTTGTTCATTTCTTAGCGCAAGTATACACAATGGGCTATCTGTACTCTGACCACCGCAGGAAATCGAACTCCGAATTTTAGTATCGTGAATCCTTGAACTTGCCGCTGACCCATCGAAGGACTTTTACTCTTTACATCATTACTAGTGGCTCGGCATGGCCAGGTGGTTAGGGCGCTCGACTCGCAATCTGAGGGTTCGCGGGTTCGAATCCCCGTCACATCAAACATGTTCGTGCTTTCAGCTGTGGGGGCGTTATAATGTGACGGTTAATCCCACTGTTCTATGTTAAAAGAATAGCCCAAGAGTTGGCGGTGGGTGGTGATGACTAGCTGCCTTCCCTCTAGTCTTACACTGCTAAATTAGGGACGACTAGCGCAGATAGCCCTCGTGTAGCTTTGCACGAAATTTAAAAACAAACAAATATTACTACTACACGATTTTGAGAGTAACTTGAAACCTTACTCTAATTAAGAAACCAGCCACGTGGGTATTTTAGTACAATTCACTGAAGGATCGTCTATATAAATAATACACTTTCGTTTGTCTGTCTGGAGCTTTCTCGCAAATTTCTCAAAACAAAAACCTACAATTTTCATATTGTTAGAAAGGCCTTTGTCCAGGGAGTCCGGATTGTATATTGGCTTTTCAATTCAGAAAAACCTTAACTGTTTTTTGCTTAGTCAAACTTCTTGATGCAACGAGTATGCTACACGATGGCACAATGTCGTTGCCATCACATGACAACTTACTTCGATTTCAACTTTAATTTGTTTTATTTGCAAAGTATTTCACACAAACAATACTCAACCCGCATGTAACTTCCTAACAAATGAGCATTACACTAAATACGGTTTCTATGAGCTTTCTCGCCTTATTTAGGTCTAAAATACGCATGAGAAGTTCGTTCAAAACCATATGCTTATCACTTTGTGAACAGACGTTTCTATATAACCAGCTAAGTTTGCATTCATTACAACTTTATGTTTACTTTACTTTGCAATAACTCAGCTTCAGTTCGTTTCACCTTTTAGCTATTTATTTTCTTTACTACGGGTTTAATTATTCGTTTTTGTGGGTTTCATCTTTTCTGCTCGTAAAACTGTGTCATACACTAAAAGCTCATAACTGTTTCTTAGTCTGTACACTATCATAAATACCATTACTATATTTTATTGTTTACTTTATGTGTAGTTTTATTACATATAACTACGCGTGCATGAGTTTGTTTGTTTAACAGCGTAAAATATTTTAAAATAGACTAGGATTTATCGATCTAACACATAATGCCTGCAGAAAAGCTTAGCTTAAATGAAGTGCGTGAAAATGGCATAATAAGATTTGTTTGTTTGTTTGAAGTTAAGCACAAATAAGGTCATGGGTTAGTGTTTATTTATTGATTAACTATATTAAAATTAAAACAATAGTGAATATATAGCCTAAAATGATATTATAATATTAGCCATGAATTTTTGTTCACAGAAAAAATTATTATTCGAATTGTAACTTTGTTTATCAACAAAAAACAAATTTTGTTTACATACTTAAAAAAAAAAAAGCTTAATCATCAGGCAAGTACAAAATCAAGTGTTGATGCAAACGTTGACTTTTACTTCCCGTTCAAACAGCATGTGAAAACAAAGAAAACCGCTTAGTAATGGAGACAACTTATTTACAATCCTTAAAGCTGTTCCCTTCAGTTGGTCCACCTAATGGCACAGCGGATAGTCTGCGGACTTATAACGCTAGAAACCGAGTTTCGATACCCGTGGTTGGCACAGCACAGATAGCACATTATATAGTTTTGTGTTTAACTACAAACAAAATCTTCAGTTGATTGACGTAAAGAGAAAGGAAGCAAGCCAAGCGGCATCAGTTATGTTTTACACTACTGTCTATAAAGGGGAAAAATCTGACACCGATCACATTGCTCAAGTCATAAAGAAAACTAGTTTATTGGTTATATATATATATTAAATACAATATCACTAATAATATGAGTCTAACATGTATAAACCTTTTATATATATATATATACAACAGTCGGTCATGAAATTTCAGTTTTGAATTTTGTTGTTGTTGTTGCTCCAACTTGTCTGAAGAAAAAGTGAAGACCGCTGTCCCGCCCCAACACGTATATTTTATTATATTAACCCTCAGATCTTCTTCCTGAGCCAGCTACATATTTTAAGCATCCAACTTCTACAACCGACTCTTCAGAGCTATGCAAAGAAAAGTTCAGAATGGCTGGAATTATAAAATCTAAACTACCTTATTGTATCAATATAAATGGGATTGTATGGTCTCACTCTTTTTTTTTATTTGGACCGGGTATGGCCTAGTCTGTGGATTCATGGTTCGAGTCACGTTATCGTAAAAAAAAACGCTCCAAATTTTGGAGCCGTAGGTCCTCTGTAAGAGTGACAGTGAAATCCTATTACTCGATCAGACAAGAGTAGCTCAAGAATCTAAAGCGTGTGCTATTGACTAGTTGGCTCCCCTCTAGTCTATTAGTTTAAAAGTAGGAATGACCATGCCCTGATAACTCTTTTTTTTGTTGCGAACATTTTGAAACAATTAAACAATCTTTTGATTTTAATCAAGTAAGACATTGTTTGGTATACATATTTTTAGAGATCAAATTCGACTCCTTACTCGATTCCCTATTGAGGATTATTGTGTGTAATCGTTATCGTAGACTTTTCTAAGCTCTTGCTACCTATTGACTTTACAATGAAAGAGACTGCTTTAACATGTTTTTCTGGTGAGATTACGAACATATTGATAACAAGATCTCCACATCAAATCCACGGTTACAACATTGATTCTACCCGTGTAAATTAGCAGTGTTTGATTAGAAGGGGTACAAGTCGAAAAACATGTTTAATTTTACGTAGTTAAGTTGTTTTAGCAAAACAAGGTACAAAATTGTATATATATATATATATATATATATGTTTCACTGAAATATAGCATAGGATTACACAACATGATGTCCGTGCAGTTAATACATAACCATAGGTTACTTTGCAATAACATTTATGTTGAAATTCAGAATTTGAATATGGTCAGAATGTATTTGATACTCAAGCTCAACAAGGAAAAGAAACACACTGTAAGATATTTACACTTTCAGTCAATGTAAAAAAAGAAACAATCCAGATTCTGAAAATTGCGTTTATATTGACTGGTTTTTTAAATTTTTATTATGATATTATTTTATGTGAAAATATTAGAAACAAAAAATATGAAATAAAAATAAGCTTTAGCTTGAAAATGATTTTAGTCTATGATTACATGAGTGCAATATTTACTCTCATTAACACCTCTAGATGTCACTAAAACCGTAAAAATGCGTTATTTTCTAAATTCTGTATAAAGCAAATAGCTTGAAAACACCTTTAGCTTAAGAACTAAATTTGACAAATATATCAAAGTGAGTAATTGTGTTTGACAGAATAATCTGAAACTCCCACCAGCGGTTACAATATTAGCTTAAAATCGCTCGGTCTTGGTAATCACACGATGATACTCAAATTATTAAAATAAAAGTAGAAACCAAAACTTATTATAGATGTAAAGTGCAAATTTCAAGAGGGCGCCACAGTATGAAACATCATGTCTGGACTGCCAGCATTTGTTATATGGATTTGAAGTTAACCTAAAGTTTTGAAGTTATTGCTTTTTTTTTTTACAATAAATATTGAAAATGACAACTCGTCTCTCTCTACGTATATTCGAATTTGTTTTTGTTATGTTTTCACAAAGTTTGATAAATGTCAATCCAACATTTTGTAGAAGATTTTGTCAACAACTCCAGCTACAAACAATAGGCTGACTCTCAAAAAAACTCCTCCAATTTCTTGTACAAACTTACCTGTACCAAACATTCTATCTATTTGTTTTTGCCCCTCTATGGTTCAGCGGTAAGTTCGAGGGCTTATTACGCTGAAAATCGTGTTGCGATATCTACGTGGCGATCAGAGTACAAGTTGCCCATTGTTAGTTCTTGCGTTTATTAACAGAAAAAACAAAGTTTTTGTTTGCTACTTATTCTTCTCTAAGCACCTGAAGATCATCCGAGACAAAGCCAAATGCACATCTTGAATGTCGATTTAGCAAATAAGCTACAATATAAAAATGTATTTTACGTGTCGCTAAATTGTAAGAAGGTAAGCAGATATTCATCAGCGTCCACCGTCAATTCTTGGGTTACTTTTTTTGGACCGAATAGCGGGATTTGACCGCCAATTTTCCAGTGCAACCACGGACTCAAAGTGCGGAGCGCGTTTTTGAGGCAATCAAATACCAACCATAAACCTTTCAGTTTGCAGACCGGATATACTAACCACTAGGTCACGTTCAGCCCAAATATTGAAGAAATATTAACGAAAATTCAACACACGTTAACAGTCGTTGAAACATAATTTTAAGAATTGTACGGTAGTTATGTCAATTTATGACATCTAGAGGAAAGAATATCTATTAAAACGGTTTTTCAGACAATAAGGCAAACATAAAGTGTTTCAAATCCAGCACAATTAAATATAACTATGGTATAAACTAACATTTTTCAAAGGTAAAAAGTTATCTGCAGACGAACTCATACAGAGGTAGAGATACTCCATCTATCCCATTTAATCTTTATAT